TTACCATCGAATTTTTATAATTGGATACTTATCAAATTTGGGTTAGATGCACGAATCACAAGACTTTGCTTTGAGGAGATATTAAAAGCACGTGTTAGTATAGATATGCAATTACAACAAAATGGTAATGCAGATATACCTAATGGAATAAGCCAATACGATTTTCGTGCAACTTGTAATATTTTTAAAATTTATTGTAATGCAAAAAATTTTTACTTACCTTCACATTTAGACATAATTTCTCATTGTACTAGTCAGGACATTCTAGCTCCATTATTTAGATATTACTTACCTGATTTATTTAATGTAAAAATATCATTTGACATGCCGATGCAAATAATTGAAGATGAGGATGGTACGGATAATCAGTACTGCCATTTATTTCTAAAACAAGTCACTAAAAAAAGAAATAAACAAATATTAAAAGAATGGAAACAGGCTCTATATGATTTATCGATAAATAATACTGGCAGGTTATCGAACATTTTTCGTAATTACCTTCATGAATTTATTTATCAAAACTTGCCAAATTCGGAGAATGTCTAAATTAAGTATAAATAAAGAATTTACAATCTGTTTAAGTATATTTTTCACTTTTTTTTATCTGCTTGATGGAAGTAAAAAATAAACTGTTTGAAGTTGAACTTCATTCAGATTATTTTTTTTAAATTAGTATATATCGTAGCGAAAACCTGACCATTGGTCGCCTCGATAACAAATTGATTGATCAATTTGTTACTTCGATTTATCAACTTGTGGAGGGATGAACGCAGCGTTTGAACCGGTTTTATTTTTCATAGATCCAGTTTTAATCGGTTTTAGAGATGAAAAATAAAACCGGTTCCAAACTCTGGATAGAAGTTAAATGGAAAATCGACTTCAAACAGCTATACACGTGCGACTAAATTGCTTATTAGAATAAAAAAATCATCCGAAATTGGTCATATTTGCCGAAAATACCTTTTTTAAAAATAATTTAAGTAAACACCAATACAAGTGTTGTCACTTGGCCGGCCAATTGCCAAAAAGCCAAGAAAATTATTTGGCCGAAGTGGCCAAATATTTGTATAATAAAACTAGTAATGCTATTGGTTAATATTATAAAAGTTTGCCAACACTGCCTATACAAATAGTTTACAATTGGCCATTAGTTAGCATCCTAGTGTTCCAACCTTATTAGGTGTAACATAAATTCAAAAACAAAATATACACAAACATTAACACCGATAGCAATTTTTTTTTAGATTGATATCTGAAAATAAACCATTTCAGCAAAAAACTTACATAAAATTTTATTTTCAAACCGTTTGATTTTTTTTTAGAAAGATTAAAAATCTCAATGAAAATTCATCAAAATTACGTAAAAGTTTCGAAATATAGTATATGTATTTTGCTGTCCTAAACAAGAGACTAAGAATGATTTACTTAGTAAAACTTTAGCTTTTATACGTAGAAACGATTTCCAAATTTTCTAAGGTTTTGCAAAAGACAGGGTACTTTTTTCAATATTATCGTGCAATCGTGCAAATTATTTTGGTGTAAAACATGAGTCTTTATTAGTTAAAATGATATTTTTTTTGATTTCTGAGCTACTAATTATAAATACGAATTATATTTGTACCATAATTTTTTTTTTCTTGTGATACAAACTCGCAGCAGCATAATATAGCCGAGTATTTAAGTTTTTAAGCCCCGAGTCTTTTAGCAAAATGCACTGCTGTGTTTTGTTTACTGTAAATTGCTTTCATTTTTATTTGATTAATATATAATACTAATGCGACCTGTTGTGATTTGCCAAGAATCGCAGTGAAAAAAAATTTTGTTCCTACATTTAATTATCCAATTATATATGCACACAAAATGGCGTACATTTTTTGTACGAGTGATACATACAAAAAAAGTAAAAGTTGGCATTGAATAACGGGTCAAGGCGAAGAACAAGAAAAAAAAATCGAAAATACAAGCAAATAAATGTAAATATGGCTTCAAGCGCTAACTGAAATGACGGGAATAAAATTTTCCATCAAGTAAGCATGGTTTATTCATATGATATCTAATTCAAACAGTAAATTTTCCTGTTTGGGTTAAATAGTTCGCACAAATAATCATTTCCCGGGAAATGTGTTAATGTTTGTTTTAAATCTTAAGATATTGATTCTTTTTTAGGTAAAAATTATAGTTTTGCAATATATTTTTAACGGTTTCGTACAATAAAAGGAAAAAATTATCGATGCGTACTCCGATGTTTGTGTGACAAAGTTGCGGTGAATAAAGAATGCAGGTAAACATAATCGGACAATCAAAACTTTATGCCGCTAATAAAAAAGGAATTTTTCCTAATTGGAACTTTGGTGATAGAAGGTTTAAGTACTTGCTTTTTTGGTATTCGCTTTTATCATTTTTTTTCTTGTGCACTTTTCCGGCTGGTTCTTTATTTAATTTTTTTTGATTTTGTATCATTCGCAACAATAAATGTACATCTGGTAGGTGTTTCTTTGAATGATAAGATAATCTATATTCTTGTATCGGGGCGACCACTAAAATATTTTGTTTACGTTGCTTTTATGTTACATATAAAAAATCTTTTTGTCTTAATCAATACTGTAATTTTAAATAAAATATTTACGATAGAACAATTGTATCCTTACTCTGTTTTGCAAGGAAATTTGCCTGCAATTTGTGTTTTTCGATGCATTATTAATCTAAGAGTACATGGTATCATAAGACTAAATCGGTTTGCTTGATAGTTTTCGAAAAATGTTGTTCTTTTTAGCACACAACTTCTCTATCTTGTTATTTCTTCGCTCGCTTTTTGGCGTCCTTTGAAATCATGACTTGTACTACCTCAAAATGTCCGACGTGTATAGTCTTCGGACTTTTGATGTACATCTCAATACCGAAGTAGTTCAGATCAGTCTAGCCAAAGTCGGTCAGAATATCTGAGCTTTTATATTGACACGAGCGAAACGGCGAGTCAGTCGCTTCTCAAACGGATACGTCGCGTAACCTACGAACGGCTTAGTCGATAAGAGGCGGTTAGATTTGGCGAGTGGTGTGTTTATGATCGTAGGTTTTATAA